CGGTCATGCATCTTTTTTTTTTGTGATACATTTAGTTTTTTGTGATACATTTTATTTTTTCTGTACTACATGTAATACATTGAATAAAAGCTTTGGACACTCAAACGGTTTCCGTTTTCCTAGTTTAAAAATAACGTGGAGTAAAAATTTTGTGGCGAGTACATGGCAAGTTGGTTGACCAAAAATACAATTGCAGGCAATGCAAATATCCTCTCCTTTTTATTAAAAAAGTTAATTTTTACGATTCTTTTTCTAAAAAAGTTATTATAGTATATATAAATAGTTATCAAGCATTGAGAAATTTTAGTTTTTAATCCAATATATTATTCGAAATTAAATAAATTAAATGGAATTATTATCAGATTGATCATTTTTCTCAAAATCTAAATTCGTGTCAATTTCTTATTCATTTATTTAAAATTATTTCCTTATTTATTTATGTTTTTTACTAAATTCGATTTTAAATTGCGTTCTCGAACTCAATAAAAAAATAAATAAAAAAATAAGTAATATACATTTCCTTTAAAAATATGTATTTGCTAATTTCGGGATCATATGATTTACTAGATCGTTCTGTAACACTGAATAAATTACGGAAATTATCCGACAAAATTTAAATGGTACATTTATTGTGTTTATTAAAATAAATAAAGCATACAATTTGGTTCTTTTAGATCGGCAAAATGCGTTCGGTATTTTTAAAATAAAATATATATATATATATTCGAGAAACGATAATATTTTTATAACAATGATGAAAATTTCGAAAAATCTCAAACAAGTTTCTCTACCTTAAACGAAAAAAACAAAGCCTGACGAGACCGAGATTAATGAATTCATCAAAAAATTAATATCAAGAATATCATTGAATATCATTCCACCGAAATTTCCAGCAAAAAAATTAGTAGTCGAACAATTAAATAGAGAGGGAACGCCTAAAAGACCAATGAACCCGCTTTTTTTTGTATTAGACGTTTCGTTTATCTGGAATGAACTTTTATCGTCAGCAATAGATGGTGTGTTTCTTACAAATGTCGCATCTAGAATTTGGAATGACATGACTCAAACCGATAAGGACCATTTCAAAAATATTGCAGACGAAATAAAAATATTACAGTCTGATTTCCATAAAGGTAAACATTATAAAAAAAAACCTGTTGCTACAACGTTCCATAATTATGCTATTGAAGATTTTGGTAAAAGAAAGAATAAGAAGGAGGTGAAAGGTCTAAATCGAACAAAAAGCAGAATGATAAAGAAAAAAAAACAAGGAAACGTACATAATTCCCAACCGCAAAAAATCATATTAAAAGTATAGTAGACCATTTTTTTCCAACTCAATCTCATATAAAAAGTATAGACAACAAAACTCAACCGCAACCATTAACTCAAAATCATATGCATATGAAACATATTATAAGTGACCAAATTACCGTATTCCTCCGAAAATAGGCACTCCCCGAAAATAAGCACCATCTTATTTTTTTAGTATCCGAAAATAAGCACTATCACATTTTTAGCATCCAAAAATAAAATAAACCCGATTTATTAAAAATTTTATAAAATTCAATGTCTTTTTTTTAAAAGAATCATTGCCATCAATATTTCTTTCA